CCATCAAAAATGTGTTGCCTTGGTAACTGCTAACAACTTGTGTCAATTACCGCCATTTCACACAATCACAAAATGGAGAATTCAACGAGAGAAGATATGGACTGCGATCACACCGAAATTGTTTCTACCATCGTTGCCAAAGTGCCAAGTGAATGGCTGATGAATTTTCTCGAATGGATAGCTCGAACCGTTAGAACAGAAGATGAATATTCAAGAACGGATAGCTGGAGGCATTCGAACGGATTATGAATATTCAAGAATAGATAGCTAGAGGCGTTCAAACAGATGATGAAGTTTCTTAAACGGATAGCTCGAACAGTTCGAACGGATGATGAATATTCAAGAACGGATAGCTTGAGGCGTTCAAACAGCATGCCAATCCAGTCGAACGGCCGATGAACGGCTGGTGAACGGCTATCCATTTAAAAACGGCTAACCATTTGCAACGTTTTCCCCTGAGAGGTCACAAATAGATTCCATGTTGCTGCACAGGTAGCCCAAGCTCTCTATCTGAACCACACAAGGAACACAATATGGCATATCGATTTAGTAAGGATTTGTATGGGATTTTCTACTAGATATCCATGAAGGTAGTTAAAAGTGAAAATATTCAATAAAAATGGCTTACCTTAATTATTCCATAGGCGTGTTGTTTGCTCCTGGTGTCATTATTTTACCGATTTAACTTGATTTAAGCCATCTTTTTTAATCCTGGTTTTCTCTTCTAAAAAAAAATTGCTTAAATCAAGTTAAATCGGTAAAATAACGACACCAGGAGCAAAAAACATATGTATGGAATAAGGTAAGCCATTTTTATTGAATATTTTCACTTTTAACTACCTCCATGGATATCTAGTAGAAAATCCCAGACAAATCCTTATAAATCGATATGCCAAATTGTGTTCCTTGTGTGGTTCATATAGAGAGCTTGGGCTACCTGTGGTTGCTGTGCGTCTGTTTGGTAATAGATCACAGATAATGGTAATAGGTCACAATGATTACTGTACGTCAAATTGCGGTAAGAACAAAAAAATGACACGAGGCGCAGCCTCAACACACGGCAACATGACACATGTCAACATGGAATTTATTTGTTTTAGTTATTAAAGAAAGAAACAAAAAAATTGTCTTTGGTGATGTCAGTCATGTAGGCGTCTGTCCTCAAAAAGATGCTAAGGTCATCAGGTGATAGAGCCAAAATATGCTTTTGTTTTCTTTTGTTACTCCGTCCATAATCGTTTATTCTCACGGGGGGTTATTAATGCTGTGGGGTTTCTATGGGATATCAAACAGGCCATGATGTAAGAGGTAATAAATGTATTTATCATGGGTTACATAACTCTTTCTTTGGGGTGTTGCATGGTATGTTGTTAAAATTGCTTCATTAGCATTAGACTATATATTCAAGCTGTTATCATTTATATTCATTTGTGTCTTGCGACTGTCCCTACACCCTGAAAATTAAATACTTAGTGACTAGGGATCATCAGTTTCTCTTAGTAGTTGTTTGCATACACAAACATAGTTAAGATTGTTTTGTGGGGTGGTTTTTCTTGCTATGTTTTTTACATTTCCGAATTTTCATTCTGTTGATGTACCATTCCTATTGATTTTTTTGATCAAGGCATAATAAAGAGGGTTGCATACAGCTCATGTTGACACACCTGATTTGTGGTTACTTATTGAATGATAAATGTTATATACTCATTTGAGCAGGGTAGCCAATTAGAATATAAGAAGTACTGAATTATTATAAATTTTTTATTGTCAAAGGGACTACATGGGTTCAAGAAATTGTCTGGCAGATTTATCACAATGGAGAAATCAACAGTGGTAAAATTGAAGATCGTGTCCCATTTGTGGAAGAAGCAGCTAACCCCAAATCATCTCAGCCTGACATTACAACTTTACCAAGTCCTCGTCTTCTCAAGACCCATCTCACTTATGAAGCCATCCCCAAGGCTAAAAACAACATTACAAGCTGTAAATATATTTACATTGCCCGTAATCCTAAAGATGCTGCAGTGTCAAGCTATAAATTTATTAAAAGCCTTGGATCTAGTACAGGATTGAGTGCCCCATGGGAATATTACGTGAAGCTTTTTATTGAAGGCAAAAGTAAGTGCATTAAGTTTCTTAAATATGTTTGTTCAGTAATAAATCACAGATAATGTCAAATTGTGGTAAGAACATAAAAATGGCACACAAGGTATAGCTGAGACACTGTTTACACAGATGTGGTTTCATTTTTAACCACATTGGTTTCGATGCAGTTACGCCTTTCATTTACATGACCAATGAAACCATATCGTTTGGAAAATGCTCCACTTTTGAAATAGTTTTCCAAATGACCCAGTTCTGATAATGAACTCGACTGGTGCCATGTAAACAAAAGGCATAACCACATCGAAGCTGATGCAGTTAATGAAACCGTGTCTGTGTAACATTACCTTAGTGTGTCACTGATGTTCTCTCTCTACTGTTTAATACAACCTAATGTTAACAGACATTGTACAAGTCAGATGTTTGGTCAAAAAAGAACACAGAGTCCAAAGTACCAGAGTTAAAGAGAATTCATTTCCTACAGGTGGAGGAAAAAAAATAAATTACAGTAGAACCTCTCCTTTG